AAGGTAAAAATAGGTCTCAAGCAGACGGGTCTCAAGAAAAATGATATTTCTAGCTGAAGCACCCATCAGCCGGGATTAACGACAGCCGTCAACTCACTTGACCTCACGGACTTATTTCACCTGTTTTTAAGCAAAATCAAAGCTCAAGAATTGCCATATTCTCAATGATTTTATGAAGACAAGAGTCGACAAAGTAAGGATATATGCAGTAGAAGAAAATTCAAAATTTCCAGAACACTTGTAACGGTTGTTTTAGCGGCACAGGAAGCCTAGATTATATATAATCCGGTTTTTACCAGCGATTACCCGGAAAAACCATTCYGTCTTGCTTCCGGTTTATAGGGTGTCCCAGAGCCTACGACAGGCCGCTAGAGGCCGACAGAGTAGGGTCTGGGTACGAGAATGGTGCCAGTCATGAATGTTTTGWGCGATTGTGCGTACCCGGTGGAAACGAAGCCAGTTTAGTGTTTTCATTGTTGAGTCAAGCTAATAGAAAACAAGCTKAAAAAGTGGTAAATTTGCCCTTCAAATCAAAGGTCACCCAACTATTGCTTGAGAGAAAAAAAATCGCTAGTACTGTTATCGGCGTGCGCTCTTAGCAAAAWGCGGGTTACCTGTGGTATTACGTCAATGATCCCTTGCCTCGCGGGATCAAACCACCTCGTTCCCAGGGCTACTCTGTTCTCTTTTTTCAAAATGGCGGACAGAGATAGCCCTGGCATCGGCCGGTCATGTGACACCCACATCTTGGATTTCAACTCGCCTCGTTTATGCATTAGCAAGAAATTTTTGTTTGCTTGTCATCTATACAAGAACATGCCATCTATCGTGAATCACATATCCATGAACCCATTAGACCTTGATCACTTAATCTCTATAAATTTTAACATGTTTATCCAGTTTCACAACTCCCTATGACCAAATACACCGGATATGGATGGCTTTTTTGAACTCACTGCTGAGAAATTTGACTTTTCATTATATGGTGTTGCTTCATAAAATKTTYAGCCGTTCGTGTCCTGTGTGGAAGATCCCTTTTATTTCCAGATRAGACATTATTTTCGCTTAAACACAAGCACGTTGTAAACAAAAAACTCCATTCTTTCGTTATTCTTGTTAGCATTTTCTCAAATATCGTTTGATCTTGAAGAAAAAGTGAGGCATTTTCAAGAGTCTTTCATTCYCGCCTTTTWWKRAAAACATCAACTATCATGCATTGCCCGCGATATACGTGCGGTCAGCGTCAACAAATGTCCCTTCTGTTGGTTGGGGATCAAAACCTAGTATGCGAAGGTACGGTARTACGAGCAGAAAAATCGTCCAACTTGTCTCGCAATATTGCTGCAAAGCAAGTGGGAAAGCGATGTTGCGCGTTTTACTAGTGGCGAACCAAATTGTTTAGCTTTTAGAATTTAACTTGTTTTTTTCTTATACCAGAGCGCATAGAACAGACTTGTATATGCGCTGTACACGTTTTTCATTATTCTTATTCATCATTCTTATTCTTATTCTTCTTATTATTGTCTCGCATCACGGGATCAAAAGAATGACGTAATACAGCAGGTAATCCACAAAGCGCGGGCGCMAATGCGATAAAAGCGTGCACATTCGTTCTTTTTGTTTTCTAGTTGAGCGGCCTATGTTCAAATACAAGACTTTCAACATTTAGTGCAAAGGAGTGTATTTGGTTCAAATATTATCGAATTTCCTAGCAAAAAGACCTTTGTTGAAGTAAAGTCAACGAGAATATGTTTGCTGCTGTCGCGCATAAACTTATTCGACCCAAGAACTTGAAACGTAAGCTTATAAGCTAAAACTTCGAAAAATCAAAGTTATTTCGTGCATCCCACAGATAAATGCTGTCTCTAAATACAGTTATTCATTTTTTTCTTATTGGTCGCCAAATCTACAACATTGAATGATAAAACCCGATTACTTGTGATCTTGCAGTAGTCAAAATCGAAACGCGCTCACAGTAGAGTCAACGAGACAAAGACTGTGAAAATTTCTGATTTTTGAAGGTTACTCCCAACTAACGGCGAGTGAAATTTGTCTTTTTTTTTCTCGCTCGCTCTGCATCAAAAATGACCGTATACTTCAGACTTTTACATATGTAATAGTTGAATTATTAATCTTTCTGATGGTGTATTTGAGACTTAAATCTGATGGCGCGATGGCCAACACCAGACAATATTCAAACAGTGATCTCAAAATTGTTTGCCTTTCCGTGCGCGAAAAAATCCATCGATTTTTCTCAAATTCAAAAGCCTTAATATTATTATTATGAAACAGATTATTGGCATTCTATGTTTGAAAAATTACACAAATCTAAAAATTTGTAAGATAACTAAAGAGTAAAACTTCTGTATTCGTGAATACGTTTTGTCGATGAATAAAAAACTTTTCAGCTTTTCAATTCGCCAATAAAATTGGTCGTTTTTATAGAACAAGTATATTGTAACAAAGCCTGCATATCATTT